CTTCCTTCCTTCCTTCCTTCCTTCCTTCCTTCCTTCCTTCCTTCCTTCCTTCCTTCTCTCTGCTCAAATAAGAATCTAAATGAGATCCACATTGCAATTGGTTATGAATCTTAAGACTCTCTAATTTATTTCTCCTCCTTACAACTTATTTATAAAAGAAACTGGTCATTTGTCCTATAGAGTTTCCTACAGTCTGGAATTTAGTGGTTGCATACCTGGAATTGAACTTGTTCCTGTCTCCTCTGTATTTTCTCTGCATATGTAGTTTAGAACTAACAACTTGATCAGACTCATGCTCAATTTTTAATCAAGAATTCTTCACAGTTAGTGGTGTATTTTTCCATCAGTAGGCACATAATGTATGATTGTTTCTCCTTTCATGATGTTAGCAGCCATTAATGATCATTGCCTAGATCCATTAAATCACTGAGTTTTAAAACGGTGATATTTTAATTTACCGTTTCCTCCTCATTTATAATCTACAGTACTTCTATAAAAATAAACTTTCCTAAACAACTATTTGACTTCCCTGAAGGGCAGTTCATACAGGAAATGTGGGAAAAAAAAATGTTTGATTCCTTGCACATATTGACTAATTTTCAAAATAATGAGTTGTTCCCAAAGGTGACAAGGAGTTTTTATTTGTTTTGTTTTGACATTAGTATCACTATGAACTCATGGATTTAAACATATTTGATATGTTCTAATCCACTGCGATTGTTAATCTTATTGGTACTCAAAATGCCCCATCTTTGGCCTTCAGAACTTTTTCACGTTAATGCCTGTCCCTTTGACATGACATCGTTCTTTTAAGCCTCTTCACTTTCTGATAGAGCAAACACATATTGTAATTATTTTCTGAGACTGGGAATTGGTCATTCCTCCAAGTAATCCTGGTTCTTTTTATTGGAAGCTGGTATCTGGATCCTACAATTCAGTCCTGGGAGTAGCTTTTCAATTCTTGTCTTGAACTCTTTCAGCAAGTCCTCACTTGTTTACAATATGGACTATTCCATTCTGCAACAGTTCTAATTTAGAAAATCTTTATATTGAGCAAAAAGCTATCCCACTATAATTTATGCATATTGGTCATAATCTGCCAACAGAAGCTCACCTGATGATGATGACAACGATGATGGGAGCAGTGATAATGATACAAGATCACAGGCACAATGCATAAACGCATATCACCTCATTTAATCCTCATACCGTATGGCATAAATATTATTCCTCTTTTAAAGATGAACAAATAGATGAACAAAGGGGTAAAGTTGCTTTAGTCTTGGATACCAATCTGTGTCTGTCTTACTTGAAATTCCGTGATGGACTCTATTTTCATGACAACCTTTTCTTGCTCCTGTGAATTGTTTTGTGATGTGAGTAAAGAAAATACATCTATGGCTTTCACAAGCCTAAGTGGTCTGCAGTAACCATTTCTTCTCTGTCTTTATCTGATTACCCTTACGCTCTCCACCATATATTCAATTACTGGCTCATGGATTTCAAGCCAGGCTATTCCCTTCTAGTACAAAATGACTCTTCTCCAAAGCATCCTATTAGATACCAGTTGTTGAAACAAGGAATATCCTCTGCT